TAATATCATATTATTAAAATAATTATAATATTATTATAATATCATATTATATGATAAAATAATAATATTAGAGTTATTAATATAATTATGATATTATTTGTTACAATATTATTATTATATTATATTATATTACGAGTTTGAATTTTAGATTGAGAATATTGTAAATTTTAAATTTCATTAGGGGTATTATGAAAGTTTTATTAATTGTACTATATTGATTCTCGCACAATCTAAAAGCTAAAGTTGTCTTTAGGCTGCTTTTGATTTTGGCTATAGATTCTTAAAAAATTCTTCAAAAAGAACTTTTCAGGAGATTTACCAAACACTAAAATCAACTTATGCTACAAGCAGAAGCTGATTTTGTAAGGGAAAAGTAATACCAAACTAAGCCTAAGTTTCTGTTCATTTTACTGATTCGAGTTTAAAATTCGAATTTTGTTATAGTAAAAAACTTTCAAAACCCGTCATATCTAACTTTTTTGTTACATTAAAGCTCTCACATAAAATTACATCTCAACTCGAATTAAAAATTCCCTAATCAACAATTAAAAAGAAGAATTAATCTCATGATACTCCTCAATTTTGAAATTATTTTCACTTTTTTCTCTAAATTTTAAAAACTCTAACTTTACTCTTTAAATTTTAAATTATTCTCACTTAATCTCTAAACTATGGTTAAAAGTCAAATTTGATTTTCATTATAAAAAGACATAAATATACTCCATATTTTTCAGTTTTTATTTTTTATTTTTATATTTTTTTTTAAGTCATATAGGTCTTTAATCTTTTATGATCAAATTGACCATCCATTAAAGAGTTGAGCATAAATTTAAAATTTATATTTATTTTATCTAAATACAAGTTATAATATTTTAGATAACTTCAAACGTTGGTGTACAAAAATAAAAACACCCTTAAATATCTGTAAATTTGAAAATTAAAATTTAAAATGCACTTTAATTTATGAGAGTTTTAGTATGTTGGGTAGGAAAGAAAAGTAGAAGGAAGGAAGAAGGTGGAGGGAATTTGGGAGGGAAAATGAAAATGTAAGTTGTTTGGTAGGAGAGAAAAGAGAAAGGAAGAGAAAATGGAGTGAAAAATAATACATTTAGGCCCCACCATTTTTTTTCTTTCCACAAGTGGGCAGAAAATGGGATGGAAAATGGGGACTACTCATTAAAGTGAGCAAAGTTACTAAACTACCATTTTCTTCATCAACATCCAAGCAAAAAATTTAAGGGTATAAAAGTAATTTACGAGTAAGATTTTTTTTTTCCTCCCAATTTAACTTCCAATACCAAACAAGTGAAGGTAAGCTCATTTTCTTTCCATCTTCTCATACCAAACAACATAAAAGAAAATCAATTTCCTTTCCATTATTGCTATTTTTCATCACTTCCATACTTCCTTTCTATCATATTTTCTTTCCTTCCTACCAAACATAGCACCTTGCTAATCTTATTAGTAGTGTCATTTTATAACCGTTAAATTAGATTAAAGTCACATCAGATTAAAAAAATATGTAAAATAAATAATTTCTAATACAGATCTCACTATTAAAATTAGAGAACTAACAATAATTTATTTTTTTAGTCTAAAGCTTTTAATTTAAGGACTTTTTTTGGTACGCCAATATATCAGAAGCAAAATTTTTTAACTATTAAATCTACATAAAATTACATAAAAATAAAAAAATATACATAAATTTAATAGTTAAAAAAACTTAGGAGACGTTTGGTTCATGAATTAGAATCATTTTCGATTTACGTATATTTTTATGAGAGAAAATATTATAGTAAACCATGAACCATGATTCGAATCGGGGTACGAATCCCCCAACCAAATAACCTCTTAATCTATAAGTACATCAGCATAGAAGAGAATCTCCATTTAGGCCTCGTTCACTTCGCGGATTGGAGTTTTTAATTCGAGCTGAGATGTGACAATTTTTTTAGAGTTTTTCACTGTAGCAGAAAAAGTTATATGTGACATTTTCTAAGATTTTTTTACTGTAAAAACCTAAAATTAAAAACTCAAATCGGTGAAATGAATGAAACCTTAATTTTATTATGAAAATGGGGCCCATTTTTTGAACTATTCATTTTACATCACTAACACACGAAAATCCAAGAGTCCTTATCATCTGACAGCCTCTTTGAACATAAGAGAAAGCCACCAAGAGAGCGGCACCCGGATGAGATGGGGCATGAAGTCACAAATTCAATGCGACAAATATTGTCTAGAAGAATATTGATCTACAACACGTCATCTTTGTCTCAATAAGTTTTCATTAATATTATTATAGGACGTTCGTGTATCATTTCACATCTCTCTAATATTATTATTTCAATTAAACATTATATCACATCAATTAAATATTTTATCAATGAAAAATACGAATCTTTCTCTGGTAGGACCACTTTATTAGTAGAGCTGGTTCTTGATTATTAATCAAAATTATTCCAAGTTAAAAAATAAAAGAATAAGAGAAATAATATATTTAATAGAATGTTTAATAAATTATAATATATTTTTTAAAATAGATAAATTATAGCATAATTTAATATATTAGTTTCAAACATTATTAAAAAATCAAAAATACCCCTAAATCTTTTTTCCACTTCTTTCGTTCCCCTAAACCTTTGTTTTTAAAATAATAGTAACTCACATCATATTTATAAAAAAAAAAAAAAATAGATTATAGCATATTTTTTTTAATAAGATACATTATGGCCGATGAAAATAGATACAGTATAGTCGGTGCCCATGACCAACGACCGGCTAAAGTGACCAGTGGCCATAACTGGCGAGTAGTGACCGGCGGTCGTTGCCGGTCAGCATCGGCGAACGGTGCCAATTGCTAATAAATATCGTATTTACAGGTAAATACCATATTGTAACGACCTGACTTTTTGGACCGTTACTTAACATGCTTAAACTTGATTTCGTAATTCTAAAGCATTCCCTTTGTTGCTAAAAATCAATTTGTACCAACAATTGACTTAAAAACCTTATAAGGAGGGAGGCCTTGGGTTCAAGTGTTGGAGGACACAAAAAAATCTCTGAGGGCCGCTAGGTGCCCAAAGGAGACAGTATGTATAAGTAACGAGTATAAAACTCGATTATGCTAAGGGTCCCGCTAGGTGGACCCTATGCATTACACATATTTACTTGTAAATATTATATTTATCTGAAATTCAGCCGCTGGCATCGGCGGCCGTTAAATACTATATTTACTCATAAATACTACATTTATTTGAAAATCCAGCCAATATTGTATTTACCGTTATATTTACCTAAAAATTTGGCCACCAACGTCAGCGACCTGTAAATACAGTATTTATAGCTAAATTTCGTATTTATTTACTCGTAAATACCATATTCCAAATTGTTATTACTAAAGTATTTACAAGTAAATACAGTATTTACCACATTCACAAATGTAATTACTAAAGTATTCACTGGTAAATACATTATTTTCCAAATTTAAACTTGTAACTACTTTAGTTTTTTTAGGTATATACAGTGTTTTCCATATTCAATCTTGTAACTACTAAAGTATTTACTGGTAAATACAATATTTATCAAATTTTAAATTGTAATTATTAAAATATTTATAGGTAAATACAATATTTACTATATTAATCAGATTACTATGGAATTTCTGATTATCTGATTATCATATTAAAAAAAGTAATTACTAAAGTATTTACCATATTCAACCTGTAAATACTATAGTATTTTTAGATATATACAGTATTTATCATGTTTAATCTTTTAGCTACTAAAATGTTTTACTGATAAATACAACATTTACCAAATTCCAAATACAAACACAAGAAAAAACAAAACCAAATGTAAACAAATGCTAATCTCAAAATTTATTAGTAATTACAAATTCACCTCCCAAAATTCACCTATAACTCAAAGATTCACAAAAATATTAAGTGCCTTCTCAAAATTTACAGTGTCGCTGGTCATTATGGTCTCATTCATTTCACCGATTCGAGTTTTCAGTTTTAGGTTTCTACAGTAAAAAACTCTGTCACATCTAACTTTTTCTGCTACAGTAAAAAGCTCTCAGAAAATGTCACATCTCAGTTCGAATTAAAAACTCAAATCCACGAAGTGAACGAGGCCTATATCAACGTCTTTAAATTGAATAGGTGGAGTACTTAATCAATAATGATGACAGGTTGTAAACAAAGAAATTAAAAACCTATATAAAGTTGGCCGGTTCTTCCGTCCTTCTCGGGGGACGTCCCCAGAAAAGCAAGAAATAAACATTTTTAGAATATCAATAAAAATAAATAGCATAAACAAGATTAATAAATAGATAACTCTTGTAAATAAGGAATGCTAAATACATACCCTATACATACTCCATTACAACTTCACCTAATTTTTTGACACGTGTCATCTCTATTTTTTAAAACAAACTAACTTAATAATAAGTCATTGCTTTTACACTTATTTACAAACATGTCATTACTGCGAAGAGATATTCTCCTGCCGATGAGAAGAAGTTTGGTGAGTGGTAGGGAGGGAGGGAGGGACGGGAGCTTGACCTCGCGGCGTTCCTTGTGATGGTCGCGGACAGATATGCGCAGACGAGAGAGAAGTTTAGCAGTTGGGAGGGAAGGACGGGGAGAGAGAAATTTGGCGGTTGGGAAGGAGGGATGGGGAGAGAGAAGTCTAGCGGCTGGGAAGGAGGGACGGGAAGAGAGAAGTCCAGCGGCTGGGAGGAAGGAACGGGGGGAGAGAGAGAGAGAGAATCAGAGGGAGGCGGCTGTAGGAGGGGGCTGCATAAGAGAGATGAGAGAGAAAGAAAGAAAGGGAAGGAAAGAGAGAGAAAAAACCCTAATTCATTTGAGGGTATTTTAAATTTTTTCACTCTGATATTGTTGTACCACATGGCATAAAATGTAACAGTTTTAGGTGCTTTGACAAATGTCAATCCACAAGAAAAATACGTGGCAAAAAGGCTAAGAATCTCAAATGTTAATAAAGAAAGCAATATCAAATATTTAAATCCGCATAGACATATGGAAGGATCCTTAGGTCCCATTGCTTCCCCTAGCGAGACCAACTGTGGCTTCCCCTCGAATTGCCCCGCATATTCGAGTGGTGAGTGATCTTTTTCTCTTGGCGGGTGTTTGGAATGTGAATCTAGTTCACGCCATGTTCGACCTAAGTTCGGCGAAGGCTATCCTTAGCATTCCTATTTTGTCACGACTAGTTGATGGATGGTTATAGAGTGGGCATAAATCGGGTTGCTTCTCTACCAAATCGGCCTACTTGTTGGACCAAAAAGAGCACTTCAGTAGGCTTCCCTCAGCTGGCATTAATTGGAAGAAGCTTTGGTCAGCTCGCATCCTCCAAATGCACAAAATCCTTTGTTGGCAATTGGTTTGGAATATTCTCCCAGTTAAAGCAGCTCTGTCACGTTTTATTTATTGATACTGATAAACTTTGTCCTTTTTGTGGAACGGAAGAGGAATCGTCGCTACGCCTCTTTCTTCAATGTTTTGTTGCTCGGGATTCAAATGGCTCTATCCTCTGGATTTTTGCTGATATTAGGCATGCCTCGGATGCAGAAATGATTGAAAGTTGTGCTTCGAAAAAAATTTGCAGCGTGTGGTGATTGAGCCTGATTGTCAAGCTGTGATTAATCGCTTCAGAGACCCTCGTTCTATGTGCAATTGGAGAGTCCGCGAGGTACTGATAAAACTCAGGAACCTTGCCTCAGCTATCATTCTCTTAAGGTTCGTTTGGTTGGAGAATTCAAACTATGTGATTCGAACCATTTTTGATTTACGTGTATTTTTTATGAGAGAAAATACTGTAGCGAACCACGAATCATGATTCAAATCAGGGAACGAATCCCTCTACCAAACGCCCTCTTAGAGTGTTCTTGGATCCCCAGAAATACTAATGTTTTAGCCCACAATCTGGCCCATTGGGTTCTTTCTCATTAAGAAATTCTACTTGTTTAAATACCCAACTTACTAAAAATTATTTTAAAAAAAAATTATATTTCTTGACTAGTTCTAATATAAAAATAAATAAAAAAAATATGAACTAATATTAAAAGATAGAAATAAAAAAGTAAATATAAATATATTTTAAAAATCTATTCATGGTAGTTGGTTACATATGTCAGACATTCTTTTAGGTGTTTTCTCTGATGCCTTAGGGCTTAGAGTGGAAAAGTAACCTTGTAGATGATGGTACTTAGTTCCTTTTATTGCTCAACTCTCTTGCCGCGGTTTGACCTTTTCATTAAACTTCCAGCTTAATATAAAAAAAGGAATATTTTCCAGTATTCCATTTTTTTTTTGAGAATATTAGTATTTCTTGTTTATTAATCGTTAAATTTGTATTATTTTTTTAATTTTAATTTAATTTTTTATTAGATTTAATACAGATTTAACGGCTGATAAACAGAGAAAACAATTCTTCTAGCGCCCTGTGGTCTTGGACGGCTCACTTAGCGAAACGAAACACACCTCAAGTTAAAACATATTCGCCTTAATTTTCATCAGATGAAAACAAATTTACATGCCCAAGCTAGAAAACCCCCAGATAGCAAACAAGCAAAGGGAAGAAGTTGAAAAAAAACAAAAAAACAAAAAAAAAAAAAAGGCATGGGAAGAAGGAAACCTAAACAGAGGCAAAGATTAAAGAAGAAGAAAAGAAGAAACAAACAAACAAATTACTTGGGACTTCGTTAAACCCCTTCACGTATCAAGAGAGAAAAAAAAAGAAAAAAAAAAAAGAAAAAAAAAAAAAAAAGGTTAACCATCTAGAAGTTCCTATTTTCAACCCCTAACACACTACAAGAACTACAACGGTTCACATAATGTCAGTCTCATAAACTATTAACTTTATAAGAATGTGCTATCTTTGAAACTTGGAATACATATCTTTTCATGCATACATATAGAAGAATCAAAAAATTGAATATTTCAGAACTCAGAAGCACATAGAGCTTTCTAATACGAAAAATGGGGGAAGAGCAAACTCTTAGAAACAGTTGACCTCATCGAAATCAGATAGTTAAACAGATGAAATTGTGTTCAACACGAATAAATTAGGACAAGAAAAGAGGGCATACACACAACTTTTATAGGCATCCCGGACGGCTAGACTCCAAGTCACCGGATTGGAGTACTGGCCAATCAAGCAGGGGGAAAAACTTCAAAGATCTTTCCAAACATTATAATCAGTTGAGTTGTTATAGTTTACAATGCTGTCTTGGCATCCTAATAGGAATGTACTCCGCAAGGGATCCATGTTAACTATAACGTGAGCGGTTCCACTCGGACTCGTTGCAACAGCAACCTCATCCGCTCCAATTATCACTTCAGCGTAACCCTTGTCTACCCGACTGTTTTCCAGCTGCAGATTTTTGCAAGCGCCAAACAAGGTAAGAAAATATGTCCAAAAGTTGCTAATGTATGAAAAACTATTACAGTTTCCAATAGCATATTATTATTAATATTATTTCAGCTTCGCATCTTCCTCATGCCATGCTAAAGACCATCAGTGAACTCAAAGCAAATATTTAAACTTAAAAAAAGAAGTATAAATTAAGATCCTGCATTTCAATTTCTTACTAGCCTAGTGAGTGAATATGTGATGGATCTAAGAGATTCTTGATGGCAACCTTTATCAGTTCTTTCAGTGGACTTAAATCTTAAAACATGCAGCGAAAGAACTTTTGAGTCCTCATACACAGCCAAAGCCAAACCCAAAAGAGGGTTTGCAAAAAAAAAAAAAAAAAAAGATGGCCGGAATCAAAGCTTCTTTCCTTGAAAAAACGTGATGTAACACAGAATACAAGAAAGTTTCTCATACTTGGCACACCATCATCGATGAGTATGTGCGTGCAAGTGTGTCCATTAATATGGTAGTTTTTAACTTGATGTCCAAAAGATATAAGCTATTGCATTTTGAACTCATAAAAGAAGGATGCTTACCCTAAATTTTGTTTTAGCTCCCCATATGACAAATGTTTCATTACAGGAGTAGTGTCTGTGATTTCCGCGTATGGCACCGGGTCGTATCTCGACAACGTGAACCGAAACACAAGTTACAGCTCCACCTGCAAAAATGAAAAGGCTTTGTTTTCGATCTCCAGGAAGACAATAACAGAAAAATCAAACTAAGAATAAAGCTAAGCCTAGTGCATTACAGCAAGGTTAATGTAGTTGGCCAGAACTATAATATATAGTTCCAATATTAGTTGAATTTCATTCAACTTGAAACCAAATATTTTATTCTATGACTAATGAAGAAACTCAATTTAACATAATATTGAGTCTATATAGACCATCTATCTCAAATAAGATGAGAGCAAAACAAAAGAGAAAAAATCATAAATACGTGAAAATTCAACATTAACAAATCATAATTCTCTACAAAAGCACTAAAACTCTCAATTTAAGTTGAGGCAAAAAAAAAAAAAAAAAAAAAAAAAAAAACCCACATAAAACCACCAATTTTATCTTAGGGAAAATAAATATCTGAAAATTCCAAATTAATAAATCACAATTTTCTACTAAAACCCCAAGCCTCTCAAATTAATTAAGGCACAAAAAACTCACAAAATCACCCCAAAAAAAATCATCTTTCCCGATGATCCAACATGATTGTAACAACATAAAACATCTCAAATCATAAACATACTAGCAAAACAGAAATTTGAGATCACAATTCATACCCGAAACGCCAGAATCAAGGGCAAGAGAAACGGGGTTGATCAACCAACCCCTTTTATCATTGGCAATCGGGGAAGGAAACCCAGAAGGGAATCGGCGGAGATTGACCTGGGAATCGTCGAAGTGGGTCCATGGGTGTCGGAAGCGAGGAGAATTTTCGGCGGAGGAGCGTGAAAAGCGTTGGATTCTGAGAGAAACCCAAGTGAGGAGAAGGAAGACTGAGAGGAGAAAAGGGAAGGCGTGGGGCTTTTTGAGAAAGTGAAGGAGAGAGAGATAGGAAAGTGAAAAGCTGCTGCTGGTACTGCTTTGGCCATGAAACTGAAGTGGGTTTTCTGCTGAGCCTGAGCTCTGGTTGTTGGTGGTTATGTTGAGTGAATATGAACTTCTTCTAGGGTTTGCCATTTAGACTCCAGTTCATTAAGCATTCATCTTAATCTTTTCTTTTTTCTCTCGTGTTTCTTCTGTTTATGTTTATCTCTGTCGTGTTCGGCGTTTCTTTGTGTTCGGATTAAGTCCTGTTCGTCGTCGTCCTCTGTTTTGTGGATTTTTTCAACCAATATCCTCCGAATGAAACTCTTCTAACCAATAACCCCGGTATAAAAATTATTTTTCTTTTGATTTATTTCTCTTCTACTTTTAAACGCAAAGGCTAAGTAAACGTTTGATTTATAAATTAAAATTATGTGATTAAAATTATTTTTAATTTACGTATATTTTTTGTGAAAAAAATACTGTAATAAATTATGAATCATGATTCAAATCATAGTTTAAATTCTCAAACTAAACGTACCCCAAAATACCCCTGTTTTAAAATTGAAAAAAACGCCTCGTTTACTTCGTTGATTCGAGTTGAGATGTGACTTTATGTGAAAGCTTTTTACTGTAGCAAAAAAGTTAGATGTGATTGTTTGTGAGAGCTTTTTACTGTAGAAAAACTCAAATTCTAAACTCGAATCAGCGAAGTGAACAGAGCCAAAGTCAAATACCAAATCAGCTTTACGGGAGGACCTAACACAACACAACCCATCTTCTCCCTTCTATTTTTGCCGCTCCCTCGCCGGCCTTCCGCCACATCTCCGGCCACGCAAATTTCGACCTAAGGGTTTGGATTACAATTCATACTTTTATCTTTTTACGTTGTATTCTTCTGTTGTAAAGTGTTATTGTGTCGATGAATCCTGATTTATTTTTTCTTTTCACCTTTTAAACTTTTTTCTTTGTTTCAGAGGCTTAAGAAGGCAATCAAAGAGGAGACTTCTTTGTTTCATCTCCGGCCACACAAATTTCGACCTCCTTACTCCGGCGAATCAACCTCCGCTTGCAATGACAGCCACCCTTCTAACTAGCAACATTTCGACCCTCTCTGAACAGAATGGATTCGGTGATGATGATGATTGCGGATTTGATGACATTAGAGTTCGTAAAGATAATGAATGTGATGGTGAAGTTGGAATTGAAGACACAAGAGTTGTTGATTTTTCTCAGAGAGGTAATATGTTTTATGATTTTCTGAATATATTGAGCGATGGTAACTACGATCATAACCAGATGACTAAGGGCTTGTTCTTTTAGAGTGTGATTTGAGTGTAGTTCTTGAGTTGAATTTGAGTTATAATTTAAGTTGAATTTATAACTTGAGTTTGTGTTTGATTGTGTACATTTAAATTATGGTTTGAGATAAGAATCTTTTTGAGTTTGTGTTTGAATGAGTCAAAACTTGAATTTGTATTTAGATAGTATTTTAATAAAAACTCAATGGTGATGAAAAATTTTAATAAGGTATACGGGTGGGGTTTTATTCGTCTTTTCGTTATCAACGCATAGAAAAAAATCATCTCAATCATGATTAAAACGAAAAAGTTATAACACTTTTAAGAATAGAAAAAATATTGTTCATTAATTTGAGTTTGAGTTTCTGAACTCAAGTTGAAGGGAAAACTTGAACTCGAGTTTTAGTCCTAAACTTGAGTTCAAACTCAAGTTCAAACTTAAAAAAACATGAACTTGAATAAAGTTGTAACTCGAGTTCAAACTTTTTTTGAGTTTTATTGCAAAAGAACAACTCCTAAAATTTCAAGTCCGAGCAACTTAATAAATAACCGAATAGGCAATTGAAAAAGTTAAATATAAGGGGGCGTTTGGTATGTGAGAATCAGTAGGAACCATATTCACAGGAAAGTTATGGAGGGTAATATGATTCCTAAGAATAATATATTACTATGTTTGGTTATATACATGAATCTTTTTCAAATTCTCAGGAATATTACATTACTGTATTTGGTTGTTCGCATGAAAAAGATCCATAATAATAATAATAATAATATTAATAAGAAATAAAAATATTATTATTAATAAACTTTTTTCTTTTTTCTTTTTTTTAAGGATGACTTTTATAACTTATTACTTTTTTATTTTTTATTTTTTTTAAGGATGACTTTTATAACTTATTTTAGATGTTAAACTAATAATAATAATAATAATATGGTAATATTACAGATTTATATTTCCATCCTTAAGATTACTGCATATCAAACGCCCCTTAAGAGAACTCCGTTTACCGATTCTCAAAGTACAGGTCGTGGCCATTTACAAGAATATTGATGATTTTTATAACTTTTTTCTTTTTTATTTTTTTTAAGGATGACTTTTATAACTTATTTTAGATGTTAAACTAAGTTACAGTATGATTTTTGAATTTTTCTTACCGTTAAAAATTATAGTATGATTTTTGAATTTTTCTTACTATTTAGATTGGTATCAGTAAGAATGGTTAGAAATAGTCGAGAGACATACGTGGATTGTGTTTTATTTTTATCGTTCAGAGTGGTACCGGTAGGAACGGTTAGAAATTACAATATGGTTTTTTAATTTTTCTTACTGTTCATATTGGTACCGGTAAGAACGGTTAGAAATGGCCGAGAGACAGATGTGGATTGTGTTTTATCCTTACCGTTAAGAGTGGTACCGGTAAGAACGGTTAGAAATTATAGTATGGTTTTTGAATTTTTCTTACCGTTCAGATTGGTATCGATAAGAACAGTTAGAAATGGTCGAGAGACAGATGTAGATTGTATTTTATTATTACCGTTCAGATTAGTATTGGTAAGAACATTTAGAAATTATAGTATGGAATTGATTTATGTACTTTAAAATAGACTGATTTTTTAATTTCAATAATGCCTCGGTCACTTAAATGTGAGAAATTAAGACTTTAAATATAAAGGAAAGTTAATTTTTCACCAATTAAAGTGAAACTAATACACGTAACATCACAACGTAACGTTATTGATGTTATAGTTGTACATTAGTAATAATATGATAATAATTCATCAGTCATGTAAAACTATGAAATTATGATTTATTAATTTAATTATTGATGTTAATGTTGTAAATAGTGTTACAATTAATATAAATTTATCCAATCTTAATTTAAGCAACATTTCCAATCGAGCACACGTGGTAATTAAACTTCTAAGCAGATTGGTCTTCTAAGTGATAACAGTGTGTCTCAATCCTCAAATTTGTGAAATTATAATTTATAAATATAAAATAAAGTTAAATTCACCAATTAATTCGGAGTATTTCAATTTTAATGTAATATCACAAAGTGGCGTTGTTGATGTTATAGTGTTACAGTAGTTAAAGTTCGATAATGATGCATCGATCATGCAAACTATTACTTAAATTGTGTAACTCAATGTTATAGTGTTACAAAAGTAATAATATGAGTGTTAGCCATATTTTAATAAGCATATAACATCTTCCTTGAATTCTAAGCATAAATTTCTAAACAAGCATATCAATAAGCATACTTTCATAACCAAATATATTGGTAAGCAAACGTGTAATCAAAATTTATCGAAAGTCACAAAATTCATGCATACTTGTCAAAACTTATCAAAGGTTACAATATTTATGCACATTCATTTTGTTTTATGAGCTCGAAATGTAGCATGCTTCTACATCGTGATATAGTACAACGATCTAAGATAACACTAATATTAGAATGATCCAAGAAATATAACTCAATTTCAAATTTATGCTACTTCCATTCACATTAATACTTTTAAACATATGTTGTCGACAATCAAATAAAATTTACTTTATTTAGATTAATCAATAATGTTATATGATCTTCATATCCTAATTCTTTGAACACCATTAGTAGGATCTGTCATTTTTATTCTTTCATTCTATTCTCTATTATATTGATAATACATGACAATCTCAACCATTTTCCTATAAAAATAAAAACCATCAATACTAAAGAATGTCAAAAAATACAAAAAAAAGCAAGAAAACGACAAAAATCAAAAGTATTAATTGACTAGTAAGTTAAAAGACCGTTCGGATCAGTCGTTAATATGAGCGGACTGGGACCGGTCAAAAATTCTAGAGGGTATCACACTCATCGAGTAACTTTTTGACTGGTCAGATCATTCTGACCGGTTCAAATTTTCCAACCGGTATGATCGGTCAGAACCGTCCGCTCAACACTGTACATTCGTCTTCATCTTCCAATTTTAAGGTCTCACAGCTCAAAAAAATGACGAAATGAAATGAATCTTGTGGGGTTTTCAAATTAAACACTAAAATAAGAATGCCCAACCTTCAAACAGTTATTTTAGGGGGAAAAAAGAGGGTTTATGGTTAAAATATAAATCGTAGAGCTTAATTTCTTAAGATTTTGAGATTTCAAAAACTTTTGATTTGTCTTTCTTAATAGTTGAAAGCAATGCTGGAGTGTGAACGGAGATAGATGCTGGAGACGATGGACGTTGACGGAGAGTGTCGTCGGAGGTGGTAGGCGGTGTCGGAGATGGGCAACGTGACGAGAAGAGCTTTCTTTGAGGAGGTTTTTTTTTTTTTTTTTTTTTTTTTTTTTTTTTTGCCTTTTCCTATTTTAATATTTTGTTTTTTTTATTACAAAAGGGTATTTTGAAAAACCCAAAAATTTCATTAAATGAAGGGGTTATCCATTTAAAAATTTCACCTTAGGTGCTTTGCCTTGAAAGGACAACCACTTTAGGACTATTTTTTAAAGTTCATTTGCATTTTTTAAATTAGAATGAGTTAAGTTCATATTTTGATTTGAGTTAAGGTGTATTTAAGTATGATTTGAGTTGAGATTCTAATTTGAGTTTGTGTTTGGATGTGCACATTTTTAGTTATAGTTTGAGTTGAAAATCTATTTGAGTTTGTGTTTAGGTGGGTCAAAACTAGAATTTATATTTGGACAGTATTTTAATAAAAACTTAATGGTGATGAAAAATTTTAATAGGGTATATGGGTGGAGTTTTATTCGTCTCTTTGTTGTAAACGCATAGAAAAATCTATCTCAATCAGAATTAAAACGAAAAAGTTATGACATTTTTAAGGATAGTAAAAATATTATTCATTAACTTGAGTTTGAATTTAAGAACTTGAGTTGGAGGAAAAATTTAAATCTAAATTTTAACTTTAAACTCAAATTAAAATTTAAATTTAAACTTAAATTTTATAAAAAAATGTAAATTTAAATAAAATTATAATTTAAATTCAAACTGTTTTTGAGTTTAGGTTGAAATAAATAAGGC